CATGCCCCCGGCCCCGGGGGGCGGGAGTCGCGGGCAGCGGCTGGAAGCGGCCTTGTTCCCTGGGGACCGCCGCCTGTGTTGGCACGTACAAAATTTCCTCGTTAGTGGCGAGCGCTGGTAGGATGCTGGGCTTGAAGCATGACCGTGCTGTTTCTGAATGCGTTTGTGACTGACCTCTTAAACTACACGGATGTGGAAGGAAGCGGCTCCAGCTGCCGCCGAGCTGTCCAGAGCCGTCTGAGGGTGCTGAGGTGTGGCCGCAAGCGGGCTAGTTGCTCTTGGTGCTGGGCTTGTGGCCCGCGAGCCTCTGGCTGCTGCATTTCTAGCAACTGGGGGGGCAGAGGGGTCGGCTCTGCGTATCCCGGCCCTTTGGGCCTTAGGGCTGTTGCAGTTATGGTGCTTTAAGATGATTCTTGGGTGCACAGCTAGCAAAGCAAAGTGTCCCAAAAAGCACCCAGTGTGTCAGAGATGATTCCCTCCTCTCCAGGAAAACATCTCCGTTTCTTCACGTGTGAATGCCAAACCCACATGCCGAGGAGCCTTTCTGCTCCCTGCCTTGGCTCTGCCTCGTGTCTGCTTGCTGGTACGACTGCTTGGTGCTTTGCCGTCTCCTTCCCATTGCGCAGCGAGCAGATGTTTCTTGCCCAGTGGGATCAGAGCAGATCTAGGGGGATGCCTGAGACTTAGACCTGGGAGGTTTTCCTGAGGTTGGATGTGCTTTTTCCAGGGTTGATCCTGTTAAGCATTGCCGCAAGCCTCCTGCCCGTTGGCAGAATGATCCTTGCAAGGGGCAGCAGTAACATTTCACAGCCAGGCTCCTGCTCCCAGCTTGGGCAGGGAGGGCAGGACACGACCCCCCTCCCTCTTACCCGGTCGGGGGTCTGTTGGCTGGGGCAGCTGGCGCCCAGGCAGCACACTGGGTGCAAGCCAGAGCCTGGGGCGCCTGCGGTCCCTCTGAGGCTCCTGGCGCGTGCCCAGGTCGGTGGCGAGAGGTGCTGCGCTGGGCTGCGGTTTGCCCGACGAGTGGAGCGCAGGCTGCGGGCTCCCGCCCAAGCCCAGGGTGCTGCAGTCCCTGCAGACCTCCGCACGGAGAGCGGCACAGTGTACGGCTCTGGCGTACGGAGCGCAAGGCTGTGATGACTGTGGTAGCCTGCGGCTTGTTTCGGACCACCTCGTCCTCTGTTTGATTTTAGGTTGGCGATAAGGTAATGGTCCTGGCTAGGTCAGGGCTCTGGCAAGAAGTGGTGAACGTGCCAGCCAGTCAGACCTTCCTGATGCCGGAGGGGATGAGCTTCGAGGAAGCGGCTGCTCTTCTTGTCAACTATATCACTGCCTACATGATCCTGTTTGACTTTGGGAACCTGAGACCCAACCAGAGCGTCCTCATCCACATGGCTGCAGGTAAATAGTTCTTGCCAGCCCGTGCTGAGGCTCTTGGCCTCAAGCATGCAGCTTCTGAATGGGTGGCACGGAGAGGGAGCGATCAGAACCGGGCTGCACTGACAAAACGTCGCCCGCCAGAGGTGCGGGCTTCACGCTGACCCAGGCGCCGGCAAATGCCGGACCCTTTCCCAGCAGCCGGAATCGGTCTCCCCCAGCTTTGCCCCAGGCAAAGCCGTTACGCCGTACCCTCCCGGCGCTGTGTGACCGGTACAAGCAGGGATAGTTTACCTATCCAGAGGCTTTTCTGACTACTGGGGCTGTTTGCTTCTAAGTCTTTCTCACTGCTGGTTTTCAGGTGGCGTGGGAACTGCTGCCATCCAGCTGTGCAAGACTGTAGAAAATGTCACCATTTTTGGTACAGCATCTGCCTCCAAGCATGAGTCACTCAAGGAGAGCGGAGTCGCTCACCCCATTGACTACAGAACGATGGATTACGCGGAGGAGGTCCGGAAAATCTCTCCCAAAGGTACCGTGTGGTGGAGAACTTCTACAGCTGTCCTGCGTTTCTTTCAAGTGCAAAGAAACTTCTAGTGACTTTCAATTCCCTCTAGGTGTTGACATTGTCCTGGACCCCCTGGGAGGATCCGATACGTCCAAAGGATTTAACCTGTTGAAGCCGATGGGCAAACTCATCACTTACGGTAAGCGTGAGCAGCGTGCCCAAACCCCAGCCCCTGCGTAGGAGGGACCGTGCGATGGCAGGGCGGGCGCGGATCTGCACGGGGATGCTCCGCGCTGCTCCGCGCCTGGACGCACAGCCATGAGGGAGCATCGCTGTTGCTGACTGCTGCGTGTGTTGTAGTTCTGTTATTTCACGAAGGTCTTTAGGGTGCTTCGCCTGGGTGAGGCACTGAGGGGAGTGAGGTTTGTGCCTTTTCCCGAGAGCTGTGCTCACAGGCTCCCAGGCTTTTCCATCCTGTGGCAAGATTGCTGCTCGAGTATGAGCCAGTGCCTGCAGGGGAAGCTGGAATGTCCTCACGGAGGAACACTGGCACAGCTGCTTTGTCCAGGCTGACTTAATGCACAGCACTAATAGAGCCTTGCTTTTCTTCTAGAGGATGTGTGGGTGATGAGGTTTGAGGCTACTGAATACTTATCTCTCCATTCCCCAGCCCCGAAACACTGTGATTTTGTCCCGTAGACAAAGCCCTCACACAACGCCCCGTGGGATTCCAGGCGCTTGCAGCAGCGTGCTGCTTCTGTTGTCCCAGCCGCTGCAGCGGGTGGCTGCCCTGAAGAAGCCTGGCTGTAGGAGAAGGGGAGTGCTGTCCTGCCGGCCTGGCGGGATGCGACCTGTAACCCTCTCTTGCCTCTGCCAGCACTCCAGTCTAGCTGCACTGCCGCTGCCCTCCCGAGAGAGGAGTTGTTCTATATTTTTGCAATATGTGGGTGCTAATAATCCAAATTATGCGTATCTTGAGGCCGAGGCAGGTACCAGTTTCCATTGAAGGTCAACTGGGCAGATCCTGATGCGATCCAGTTCTCGCCTCTGTCCTCCATCGCCGTGTGAGCGGCTGTTACCCTGCGTGCTGTCTGAGCCGTTCCGTGGGATGCCCGCTGCCTCTCGTGTTGTGTTGATTCCAGCTCACCTGTGGCTTGCCTTCCTTTCAGGGGTAGCAAACTTGCTCACTGGGCAGAAGAAGAACCTCATGGCTATGGCTAAAACCTGGTGGAACCAGTTCAGCATCAATGCCTTGCAGCTCCTACACCATAACAAGGCTGTGTGTGGCTACCACCTTGGATATATGGACGAAGAATTTGAGCTTGTCGGAGGTGTTGTAGCCAAGCTGGTTAACCTGTACAGTCAAGGCAAAATCAAGCCCAAAATAGACTCTGTATGGCCCTTTGATCAGGTGAGTCTGAGCTAACATATAGGCTGGCAGCACCCAGAAATTACTGGGCGATTGTTTTCTGCTCAGTGAGCTCTGGATCTGCGTGAGCACCTTGTTCACGGGGGCTGAGCTGTTGCAAATGTTTAGTAACCATCTGCTCTCAGGCATTCAGTGCCCTTTTCCTTTTAAGACATTAAGGGGGAGTAAAGCAGCTGGGCTTTTCTGCTCCAGCGCACAGAGCTGGGCGATGGCAGACGGCGTCCCTGCGGAATAGGGCGGGTGCTCAGCTGTGCTCCATGGGCAGCAGCAGCCCCTGGAGGGGCTGGGTTGTGCATCAGACTGGAGATTGCCTCGAGTCTGCGCCCCGTAATTAAGCAGACGGCTGGGAGGGTTGCTGCTGCCCTTCCACGAGTGAAAAACAGCCCCGGCAGTGAAGCAGAATGAGGATGCTGGAAGGGAGCGGCAGGTTTTTCAGCAGCTCTGCTGTGCTCGGAGTTGTTGCATCGATGTGTCCAGGCAGTCAGGGTTTTCCCTTGGAAATCCTTTGCTGGGGTAGGACTGATTGCAGCGGAGCAAAGGACTTGGTTGTGATCAGTTGGTGTTAGTACCTGAGAACTAGTCTGAGGCAAATGCTTGAGGAAAACTCAGTTGATTCCAGGCCTGGCCCAGGTGCTGTTTTACTTAAAAATAATAATAATAAAAGCCTGTGCATGTGTTGTTCTGTGGTTGCATAGATGGCAGAAGTGTTGTCCTTCTGGCTGTTAGCTGGGTTTCTGCAGTGCTCCCCTCTGTCTGGAAGGGAAGCTGTGGTGACACACGCTTCGTTCTTCCATGATTTGCGTAGCAGAGCATCCTTGGGTATGTTACAGTTGGTCTGTGTGAATTCTGGAGGACGGTTTCCTACAGGCAGGCTGGGGTAGCTGCCCAGCTCCGTCCAAAACGCATCTGCGCGGAGGCACCCGAATGCTGGGCAGTTGCTTGGGCTGCCGGGAAGCTGCCTCCTGGGTGGCCCTCGGGCAAGTCTGGGTGGACCGCGGGGCCCGGGAAGGGCACGACCGCGCTGCGTGGGGGGCGTGGGTCTCACGAGACTCCCGTTGCTTCCAGGTGGCGGATGCCATGAGGCAGATGCAGGAGAAGAAGAATGTTGGAAAGGTCATCCTGGTTCCTGAGGCACCCAAGGAAGAAGCCAAAAAAGAAGAGAACTAAGGAGAAGAGATGTGTGCAGATTGTGAATTCATGGTTTAACTCCCTGATCTTTGGGACCTGGAAATGGACAGATCAGTAGCTTCCATCTTCACCAGTACAAGAACATCGTGGTTAACGTTCAGATGAGGTTTGCATGCTCTCGTTGTGACTGACCCTTTGCCAGATAGGCCTCCTGCCCTAGCTCTCCGTTTTGAAGCCTGTTTATTTCGTACACTTTTCTAATCACTTGTTTCTCTACTGAATTTCCAAACTAACCTTATTTTTCTCTGGCAGTGCAGCTGAAGCTCCAGGCAGTGGGTGATTAGCAACTGGGTAGCCTGTCGCTGTAAAGTCGAGATGTAACATACTGTAGGAACTGCCAAATATCTCCAACAGAAACCGAGCCCTGCTGAAGCATT